CTGGATTCCCATATTGTCTCCTACATATTCTATGAAGATCTTTATCGGTCTAATCCTTATGACAACATACGTAATTCCCTTTGTCCATCGGTATGTTACTTGCCCGAGATTCGATCGTTGGTATCTTCATATCTAGATCAATCTCGTTACTGCAAGTCTCTTTACTCGTTACGTAATACATCACCTCGTGACTAACTCCTTAGTCCTTTGCTTGCAAGCTTATGATGTGTATTACCGAGAGGGCCCAAAGATACCTCTTCGATACTCGGAGTGACAAATCATAATCTCGATCTATGTTAACTCAACAAACACCTTCGGAGATACCTGTAGAGCTTATTTATGATCACCCAGTTACATTGTGATGTTTGATAGCACACAAGGTAATCCTCTGGTATCCGGGAGTTGCATAATCTCATAGTCGAAGGAATATGTATTTGACATGAAGAAAGCAATAGCAATAAACTGAACAATCATTATGCTAAGCTAACGGATGGTTCTTGTCCATCACATCATTCTCGTAATGATGTGATCCCGTTATCAAATGACAACACATGTCTATGGTTAGGAAACCTTAATCATCTTTGATCAACGAGCTAGTCTAGTAGAGGCTTACTAGGGACACGGTATTTGTTTATGTATTCACACATGTATTTAAGTTTCCGATCAATACAATTCTAGCATGAATAATAAACCTTTACCATGAATAAGGAAATATAATATAAAATAAGAACTTTATTATTGCCTCTAGGGCATATTTCCTTCACATAGATCTACCTCGTATAGGTCCTGAGCATACTAGTGACATCTGACAACATCAATAGTTTCGTGAATCCCACTACGGTAATTTTTGCATGGATACAACATATCTTCACCCGTTGTTGTGAGCAAGCACGAATTCCATAAATGATTCATGACAGCCATGTATGGTGACGTCAACACCGTTCCATGAGCAATCCCACCATGATCCATTGCCTACACAACATGAAAAGTAAATAGAACACATCTGCTATTTGGTACGATGTTTTTTAGTAAATAGATCTCACCTGAAATCGCCCCTGTTTCATGCTGTCGCAGTCCACACATGACTTCTCCCTTCAACTATGGCATGTAGCCTTGCCGTGCCCTCGCAGCCGCGTTCACCTTGTCGTAGCGTCGTAGCCACGTTAACCTCGTTGTGTCGGCTTCTCGACTCACCGGGGGAGGGAACCTCGTGATGGTGGACCGTCACGAAAAATGATCTTTGATGACGTTTCATGTTTTGTCGCCAGAGTTTTTGTCACTGAATATAGAAAATGTTGAGTGTATGCATAATTCCTTTTGCCTCACGATATATGTTATCATTCTCAAGGAGAGTACTTGCCATCCTTGTTGTGCGGTTCGACCTAGTGGCGGCCCTAGGGACACACAAAAAATGTGGCTAAGCTAGGCCTAGGGGTGTTGGGTCGCACATAGTTCTCTAGTATGCCCCGAATAATGTGTGTGGGTGTTGTGAGTGAGTGAGTGTGTGTGTGTGTGTGTGTGTGTGTGTGTGTGTGAGCAGTTAGGTTGGACCAGACCTAGAGACTTCCTAGGATTGGGCCTAAGCCCGCCCTAACACTATGTTCGGGATAGAACCATATCTTGTACGTTTGCGGTCAAGTCATTGATCCTTCTATCTCTTGCATCTTCATGTCGTTTACCTTTTCTTACGTGAAGGGCATTGCAAAGTTTAACTCTAGGTCAGATGTGATGACATTGATACATATCATGAGGCATAGTCATGATGTACATAGCAACCGTCGATAATAACTCCCAGGTATCCTCTATCTTACAATGCATTAGTATGACCCAACAATCTTCTAATTTACGGTGCCAATTTGTCATTTACCTATTTATGACACGAGTGGCAATCGAAACTCAACTCTAGGCGCCATCGACTCATCGTGGATGACGTGAATGTGACTCGAAGCTTAGTAACTGATGGACACTAGCCACTTTCCATCTACCCATCTATCACTAAGACTTGGCCATTACACATATTGTAACACATCCCTGTTTGTCTATCCATCTATCCTAAAGACTTGATCATTAAACTTCTACTAACGCTTCCGAGAATTACTTCGCGTCTATCCATCTATATTGAAGATCCAGCCATTACTCATCTTGTAGCGCACCCGAAAATCCCTTCTCATTTATCCATGCATCTTGAAGGATCGACAACACCACATCTTGTAACGCACCCGGGAATTACTTCTTGTCTATCCATCTATCATGATGGCCCGATCATTACACATCTTGTAACGCATCTGGGAATTACTTCTCGTCTATCCATCTATCATGAACATTTAGCCATCTGGGAATCCCTTTTCATCTATCCATCTATCTCGAAGAACCGACCGTTACACATCTTGTAACGCACCCGAAAATTGCTTCTGGTCTGTCCATCCACCTTGATGACTCTATCATTGCACATATCGAGAAAATGTGCTGGCCTAACATACGCGTTTCCCAATATTTCACCATTTATTGTTCGCCGGTTACTCATTTACGTGACCGGCAGCCCACCAACACCGAGTCATACCAAATATATATAAATATCTTTTAGCATAGCACTTTCGGCAACAAATAAATGAAACATATATTATTTCTCGACCATTTAGAGCCGCACGATGGACAGATCGGACGACCACACTCGCATTAGTATAGTGATCCACCGCCTAACACATGATGACAGCGGTGCTTAGCATGGCGACGTTGATGATTGTGGGTCGTTGTCACTGGACTGTGTTTACAATTCCATTGCTTAACTGCAATAATTAAAATCGAGGAATTACTTCTCGTCTATCCATCTATCTTCAAGATTCAACCATTACACCATCTTGTAAGCATCCGGAAATCCCTATTCGATCCATCTATCTTGAAGAATCGATCATTACACATCTCGTAACGCACCCGAAAATTGCTTCACGTCTATCCATCTATCTTGATGGTTCGACCATTGCACATCTTCAGAAAATGCGCCGGCCCAACATATGCATTTCCCGATCTTTCGCCATTCATTGATTGTGAGTTACTTGTTTACGTGACCGCCAGCCCACCGACGGCGAGTCATACTAGATACATACGAATATCTTTCAGCGTAACACTTTCGGCAGAAAATTAATGAAACATATATTATTTCTTGACCATTTAGAGTCGCACGGTGGACAAATCGGACGGCCACACACGCATTAGTATAGTGACGTTCCACTGCCTAACACACGATGACAGCGGTGCTTAACATGGCGACGTTGATGACTCTGGGCCGTTTTCACCGGACCGTGTTTATAATCCTATTGCTTAACTGCAGCAATTAAAATCCAGAAATTACTTCTCGTCTATCCATCTATCTTGAAGATTCACCCATTACACGATCTTGTAAGCATCCGGAATTCCCTTTTGATCCATCTATCTTGAAGAATCAGCCATTACACATCTCGTAATGCACCCGGAAATTGCTTCACGTCTATCCAACTATCTTGATGGCTCGATCATTGCACATCTTCCGAAAATGCGCCGGCCCAACGTATGCGTTTCCTGATCTTTCGCCATTCATTGATCGTCAGTTACTTGTTTACGTGACCGCCAGCCCACCAACGGCGAGTCATACCAGATATATATGAATCTCTTTCAACGCAGCCCTTTCGGGCGGAAATAAATGGAACATATATTACTTCTTGACCATTTAGAGCCGCACGATGGACTGATCGGACGGCCACACTCGCATTAGTATAGTGACGTTCCACTGCCTAACACACGATGACATCAGTGCTTAGCATGACGACGTTGATGATTGTGGGTCGTTGTCACTGGACTGTGTTTATAATCATATTGCTTAACTGCAGTAATTAAAATCCAGGAATTACTTCTCATCTATCCATCTATCTTGAAGATTCAACCATTGCATGATCTTGTAAGCATCCGGAAATCCCTTTTCGATCCATCTATCTTGAAGAATCGGCCATTACACATCTCGTAACGCACTCGGAAATTGCTCCACGTCTATCCATCTATCTTGATGGCTCGATCATTGCACATCTTTAGAAAATGCGCCGGCCCAACATATGCGTTTCCCGATCTTTCGCCATTCATTGCTCGCCATTTACTTGTTTACGTGACCGGCAGCCCACAGACGGCAAGTCATACCAGATATATATGAATATCTTTCCGCGCAACCCTTTCGGCGGAAATAAATGGAACATATCTTGTTTCTCCACCATTTAAAGCCGCACGATGAACAGATCGGACGGCCACGCTCGCACTAGCACAGTGACGTTGCGCGGCCTAGCACGCGATGACAGCGGTGCTTAGCGGCGAAGTTGATAATTGCAGGCCGTTGCCACTGGGGCCGTGTTACAACTCCACTGCTTAACCGCAGTAATTAAAATCCAGACGTGTGTATATATATTAGCTGGAAAGAAGGCGATCGGAAAAAAAACCACAGAGTCGAGGGGAGGTGACGGAGACGAGGAAGGAAAGGAAGAAAAGAGACGAAAGAGGGAGGAGCAGGAGGAGGAGGGGATTGGGACTCGCCGCCCCGCTCCAAATTCCCCACTGCTCCACCACCTCCACTTCCCCGCCGCCGCCGCCCCGAGTACGGCGGGTACGAGCAGCCCGTCGTCCTCGGCCCAAAACCCTACCCGCCCAATTCGGTCCGGCTCCGAGCCGTTGGCGCCGCCCGGGGGAGTCCCGAGCGGCGAGAGGAGGAGGCGGAGGGCCGGGGAGATCGGATCGGCGGGGCCGCGGGCCGGAGTAGCATTGGGCGATGGCCGCTTCATAGGATGCAGCTTTACTCCGCCGGCGGCCGCTTAGTCTGCTGCTGCTGCTGCTGCCGCTTCTGCTTCGGAGTGCGCTGCCGTGATCCCAACAGGAGCCTGGGCTGGTGCGGGTTGGGCTGACGTGTTGTTGTTGCTGTTGTCGTTGGGCACTTATCTCTGCGGGCGCTTTGCGCCTGCCTGTTGGGAGGTGGTTGCGTTAGGCGAATGGAGGAGACTGGGAGGGAGAGGAAGGCGGCGGGGCCGCCGCCGTGGGCGCCGACCAAGTCCACAGTGTTCCGGTCCTACGCTGCTGCGGTGGTGGGCGACCGGGCGGAGGCGCCGTCCGCCCGGGGCAATGGGGTTGCCGCCCGTTCAAGCAATCTACGCGCCGTCAGGAAGAGGCCTGTACGTTTCCTACACCTTCCCCTCTCACGGGGCTAACAAAAGATGCTTGCTTGCTTTCCCTTTTGGAGCTATTCTCGGGATCACCGTGCTGAATTTGAACTGTCAATTGGATTGAGCGATTCACAGAGGTCGTCGTAGTTGGAAATTAATTAGAATGAAATGCTCGTAAGAAACCGTTACAGCTTAAGAAACCAATACTACATCTTAAACTTCGGTGACTTGAACTACTCGAATCAGCACCGTTCCTGCTGCTGCTGCCTTTGCCTTTTTCCTGATGCTTGGACGCACGCTTCAGGCAACTAAAAGTATGACCAGCTGGAGCAGTGTCGTCTGCTCAAATTGTCTTTTGATTAATCAGAGGCAAACCTCATTTCTGACTACAATTAGCATTCCCATTCATTAACCACACCTATTTTTTCTGCAACAATCATTCAGTGTTGAGTTATATATAATATACATGTTTTGTTTGCTTGACTTGCTATTCCAATCCATCATGAGTGTAAAGAGATTCCAAGTATAAGTGACTGGGAAATATTACGCAAGTGCACAACTAAAAGTGTGTCAGGATCCTACTTGTAGTTGATATCTCTTTTAGAAAATATGGATCATTGGACAATGCAAACCTGCATATACCATCCAACGTATAATGCAATGCTATAAGAACATCCTTTAACACTGTTGCTGATCTCTATTAGTGTGTTATGGGACAGAAGATGGATTGCATTTATAATTCAGTTTGTTACCATTGTTCATATGCACCACATGCCCATATACCTCTGATATACCAACTCTGAATCAATTGTTTATTCCTGCAGATTGTTGCAAGATTGACCAGAGACATCGTCCAAACTTTTGAAAAATGCAATCCTGAGTTTAATTACGTAGATTCACTAAATCCCAAGCACTTCCTCACCAGTCCTGCAGTTCCTGTTCACAATGATGGCCTTGATAATGCAAATTCTGACCTAATCTTGTATGTCAACTTGGAATTGGTTAATAAGAAGTCAGACCGGAGGTTAGTTTAGTTATTTTCCAGTGTACCAGCTTTAACATTTTTGTTTCTCGTTGGTTACTTCATACACTTTTAGCACACAAATTCACTTTTGCAAGAAGTTGATTTTTATAAGTTAGAAATATCTATGAATACTTGGAGGGCCCCATTATTTATGAGAATTAAGAAGTCAAGGTATGTGAAAGAAGAAATATATCTGAAGGTCTGTCGCAATATTTGGTTTCTTCTTTCAATTTGTAGAACTTGTCTGGTAGATCTAGCCGGTTCAACTTTTTTTCCACAACTGCTCATCTCAGGATTCAGATTGTTTAAGTTATGCTTCATCATTTCATTTGGCATTATTTTTTGGTAATAAGGTACATTGTCGAAGAAATGCTTGGCCAAGGTACCTTTGGGCAGGTTGCTAAATGCTGGGATGCAGAAACCAACAGTTATGTTGCAGTGAAGGTTATAAAAAACCAGCCTGCCTTTTATCAGCAGGCTATCATGGAAGTCTCATTGTTGAGCATGGTATGGTAATCTACTTAGGGTTTACTTATTTTGTTGAAAATATTGGCATCACAACACTGGTTTCATGTATTTGCAGCTAAATGACAAATTTGATCCTGATGATCAGCACCACATCGTCCGGATGCTGGATTTTTTTCCATGGAAAAATCATTTGTGCATCACATTTGAAATGCTTGGTCATAACCTGTAAGTAACTTCCATTAAACCTGCCTTTACTATTATATTTTATAGATAAGCCCCGTGTTAGTTTCGATTCATGTGGTAACATAAACTCCAACTTTGCAGGTACGAGCTGTTGAAAAAGAACAACTTAAGAGGTCTGCAACTGCAATTTGTCCGTACTTTCTCAAGACAGGTAGGTATCCTTTTCTTATCCTGCATGTATTTTATATGTGTTTGTTGCCATTGTTGCCATATTACCTATTATGTATTACTTTTAGATATTGGATGCATTGATTGTCATGAAAGGTGCTGGAATTATTCATTGTGATCTAAAACCGGAAAATATCCTCATAACACCGAAGTGAGTTGCTTCCCATCAAAATAAGCACTTTGTTTGTACACCTTCTGTGTACTACCACTTTCAACAATGCTAAGTTTGATGGCTGAGGTGACCTTTGCAGAGTAAACTCAGCAGCTGGAGTTAAAGTAATTGATTTTGGATCAGCGTGCATGGAGGGTAAAACGATTTACTCGTATATCCAGGTTTTATTTGAACTCACTCATCAGTCTAAAGTTCATTTTATTAATATGAATTGGTATGAATTATGAAGTCAAGCTTGTATTTTCTTCCTTTTCCAGAGCCGTTATTACAGGTCACCTGAAGTGCTTCTTGGCTATCCGTATCCTATTGAACATCTCTAATAGCAAATACATTTAACAGTAGCCACACAAACATCTTACAATGCATAGTTTGTGATTTTAGCTTGTGGGCTTGTACACTTAACAAGTGCTAGATACACTACCGCCATTGATATGTGGTCATTTGGCTGCATAGTTGCTGAACTTTATATAGGTCTACCTTTATTTCCCGGAGCATCAGAATACGATGTCCTTAGCCGTATGATTGAGATTGTCGGGTAAGTTCTTTTTTATTGAAAATCTTAATCTCTTGTTTTCTTATTTTCCTACCAGCTGTTTGCAGATAAATTCTTTATACGATATTAGGTGTTTACGTGTTAGCTGGTTGAGCTGTTTTCACTTCAGTTAGTAGGTGTTCAATAATGGTAGAATACTTTATTTACCAATATTCAACATGTACAGTGGGCAACCACCAGATGATCTTCTTAGGGAGGCTAAAAACACCAGGAAGTTTTTTAAACATGTTGGAAGCATTTATCCTGGTAATGAAGCACATGATGGTCTTTGCAGTTCATACAGAGTACTAACAGAAGACGAGGTTGAAGCAGTAAGTTCTGTGGTTTTAACTTGGAAGTTATTCTGAAGACTACTTCTATGTCATGCTTTATACATTTACTGTGTTACTCATGCCCTGTCTAAATCCTGAACACAGAGGGATTCCAAAAAGCCAAAAATAGGGAAATGGTATTTCCCTCGTGGGAGGCTTGACAGACTCATATTCGCGTACCCTTGGAAGAATTTAAATGAGGGTAATCTGCCAGGTTTGTTCAGTGATGCTTTTATTTATTATTAATAGGGGTGGCTTTACCCCTGTTTATAAATTTTAGGGTTGATCTACCGCAATAATGTTCAATACAATATATCATTACTGTTTCTATTTCTATTTACGGTCTCTGTGTGGTGGTCTTTGAACATCAAGTGGCTTCTTAGCATGAAAAATTCTTGGTTTTTTTACTCTGTTTCTAGGGATAGCCTGGAATTAGGCCAATGTAGAAAATGGTTAGCTTACTCTTGCAATATCAGTGAAATACACACCTATGCAAATTATATGAAGAGCTTGTAACACACACACACACACACACACACACACACACACACACACACACACACACACACACACACACACACACACAAACTAACATTCGATATATCCTTTCAACCATTTAATCCGATGTTTGTAATTTGAGTCCAGTACCTTTCGGGGAAAAATAACATGGTTGCTTTAACAGTTATTCATATTTCATTTTGTAATTTATATGTCATCATATGGGCATATTTGGTTAATAGACAACTAATCCTGGCTTATACATGTAGCATACAGTTCTTTAGTGACGAGGCATGGGTATTTATTTCATATGGAGCTGTAGTTTTTACATGATAATACAGTGGTCCTTACAATAAAGTTGCTAATGCGATCATATATATGTTATTTTTTACGCAGAGACTGAAAAGGAAGATTGCTTAGCATTGGTTGATTTTTTGAGAGGACTTGTTGAGTTTGATCCTAATAAGCGATGGTCACCATTGCAGGTATTGGCTAATGATAAAGTTAGATATTATTTGTCTGGTTTGTGTACTTGAAGTTACATTCATTTTGCCTCTGAAATTTGTTTGATATCCTTACGAAGTTTAGAGTTGTTTGATTTTCTGTGAGCTCTAACTTATGTTCTTGAAGAATCATCAATGGAAGTGCTTCATAATTTTGAAAATCTATTTCAGGCTTCATATCATCCATTCATAACTGGTGAAGCCTTCACTGGTCCTTATGAGCCTTTCCGTGAGACCCCAGTAATTGTAAGTATGGTCCTATTTTAGATACCTTGCTGCATATTCTTCTCATGAACAACCTGTGACGTGAAATCACCATTAGCTGTAGCAAACAACTTTTGGTTGCTTCAGTCAACAGGATAGATGCATCTCGATTTAGATATCCCGTCTTCACCTGGTCACACGTACATGCAACATTGTTTCTTCCCATCAATCTTGAAAAAATTATTGTATTTACACCCTTTAGACGTGTCATGTCTTTTATAGTTATAGTTTCTTTATGGTTTTAGTGGCATTATACCAGAATGGTTGGGTGGGTAACTTGTGAAAATTTGAACCTCAAGAGCTATCTTTTCCATACAGTTCTAGTTTATAAGTCAAGCTTTATGCCTTTTTTGTTGTAGCCTGTTGGTCGTGCTGCAACAGTTGATCACAATCCTGGAGGAGGTCACTGGCTAGCTGCTGGCCTTTCCCCTCAGGTTGTAAGTATGTTCTCTCATGCTTCTATTAAGTAGAAACCTTGCAAGAATACATCCATAATATATTATTTATATTTTTTTCTAGGTTGGAAGCATTAACAGATCCCTACCGTTCAATAACATTTTTCCGCCAAAGATGCCCTTTTCATATGGAAGCAGCTGCGGCAGCTTCGGTAGCCGTGGTAGCTTTAATGATAACGTAGGTCCTCCAAGCAGCTATGGAAGCTATGATGTCAATAACGTTAACATGTATCATTCACCACTAGGCCCTTCTGGGTTCAATTTACAGTCACAAGCTGGAGGAACATTTCTAGGATTTAGTCCAGATATTAGAAGAAGGCCTCATCTCTCTCATGGTGTTGGCATTCGACTAAGTCCTGGTGGTCCAGGTCCTATGTCTCTTGGGGGCAGTCCATCACAATTTACTCCTCCAAATTCCCAAACGCAAATGCCAACTAGCGCTACTGCTAAGTATGTTGCCACTTCTCCTGCAAGGGGCAGTCATGGCTCCTCATTAGGAAAAGCCGCTGTGGTAGGCCAATACAATAGGAGAAGGAATCTTGGTCACCCTCCTATGTCAATGCCACCACATGAGTACACATCTCAGCTAATCCAGGGACCTCATGGAGATAGTGTCAGTTCAGCATTTGTTCGAGGACATTCTGGCTATTCATATGGTGCACTTCCTAATTCTGGTCATTATAATTGGAGGCCGCAGATAGGTGTTAGCACTGGTTTATCCACAAACTCTTCTTCCAATCATGGTTATGTTCAACCATCTGGTTACAATGATTTCCGTCCTTTGCACTCATCCAATGTGCGAGCTGATACATCAACCTCTTCATCAGTACCAGATCCAGCTGATTGGGATCCCAACTATAGGTAATCATGCATATTAAATTTACTTATTTTAAAATAGTGTAGCCTATGGATTAGCTTTTCATTCGATTTTTATGTGCAGCGATGAGTCACTCCTGCAAGAAGATAATTCACTATCAGCTGAGTTAGGCAGTGTTCACCTGAGAGATGCAAGTGGTCGAACAATCCAGTCTGGCAGATTGCCCAATATCCAAAGCCATGATATTGCAGGCTCGAATCAAAGGTATTGTAGCATGATGAGATCTCGATATTTCGTTGCTGCAATGGGTCTTCCTTAAACGTTGTTGGGTTTGAATACCAGAAACACACTATGCTTGCTAGATCATAGGGTAGATGAGACTAGGCTCGAAAGAGAAACTAAACTATGTGAAGGACAAGTACTTGTTTGATTGATTGCTTCGCCCATAATGGATGTAGGCATGTAGCTCATTTCTTTATATAGAGATGGTTAGCCCCAGGTGATAGGATCTAATGGCTCCCAAAAAAAAGGGACTGCCTTCTACAGCAGGTGACTGAGAAATAACAAATGCAACATAAAAATCTAATCTAAACTAAGTGATACTACTTTCCTAACAGTAAGATGGTACTCCCTCTGTAAACAAATATAAGACTTTTAGATCACTATAGTGATCTTGTTTACAGGGGGAGTATTATTTACTAATAAGATACTCTTTTATTAGTGGCATATCACCCCTTATTTGATAAGATAGGTCTGTCTGCCCCTTGTCCCAATATCTGTAATGCACATTCATTGTTTTTTCACCATGTGCCACGCTGCTCATGACTGTTTCATGTGATCTTGCACACCATAACACTAAGTTTCAACAAGCTCCACTCATAGGTTATTAATTGAAGATATCGCAATTAACTAGCGACCATTGAAACAAATGGAATTGATGCTTCACGTAGGGAGGTAATATGATTTGTCCTGTCCTTTCAATTTGTATACATGCCCCAGTAGTTGGAGGTAAACAGATGCGCCTTTTACAGCACATATCCTATTCCTATGGAAATGGATGGAATGATGCTTCATACAGAGTTTAGGAAATGGTTTCTCAGGTCTTCTCATTTTAGCTAGCCCCCAGGGTTTGACACTATACAGATGCATATTTTGCGGGGCATATCCCATTATGATTGAGAGTTTGAGATGGTTTTGTCAGTTAGAAACATCCGTACTATGGAACATGATTGTGCTTTAGTTCATGGGACATGTTGATTTTAAAGCATTTCATGCACCCCAACAGTTTTATGCTTCAATATTTTGTTTTCTGATTTGTCAGCCAGTTAAAGATAATTAACACCGCTGTGGTATTTTTTTTTCCAACTCTGGATGCTGCTGCTCCTGCATTAAGTATATTCACTGATTCTTTGTTCATGTTTCAATTGTAGAAATGACTTCCTATTTCATGCACCGTCTCTCAGAGAGAGTGGTCATTCAACAGGCCGCGTCAACTATGATAGTTACAACCATGCCAATTATTCCCAGCGAAATTTTGCTGGTCGTCAGGGACAACCATTTCAGCGGTACAACCATATGAATTCCACCTCTATACGCCCGACGGGGAATCTCCAGAATGTTCAATCTGCCTGGTCCAAATATGGCATGCCAGATTCTACTTCGCCCCCTCGGATGGTTGAAGGGATGCCTTGGGGTAATGAATGGTTTCACTGTTGTGCACTTGGTGGTCTTTTATTGATTTTGTTGTTGACATTGCCATGGCTATTATGTTCCTGCCACTTGCAAAGCAGGAGTTCTGTAATAATGCTATGTATGAACTTGTTCTATTCCAGTCTTAGATGATATCATCGTTGCAAACTTGTAACATCTTGAAGTCTTGCTATTAATCTTCAGGACAGTGATAATGTTTAGGACTACAGATAACAAAAAGACACTTGATAATATACTCCACCAGCATATGATTTCTGTCGATGCACAAAACTGTAGCTGTTAAGCATCAAACCTTGTATGACAATGTATGAGCTATGGACTGAGGGTCTGATTGACCTATAATTGGGTCCTCTTATCCTACAACCGAAGCTTTGAAGTTATTAGTACAATTTATTTTTTCTTCCATGATGTGTTTGGGAACTGGAGAAAGAGGCTTGTGTGCATCTGTCTTTCAAGCATAATACTGATCAAAATGAACTATCTGTGTGCAGGAGGAAGCGCTGGTCACTCTCTTGCAACAAGTGGGCTGCCGCCGTCCTTTGGAAGAAAGGACTTCGGGAGGATCTTTTAGCCCTTGTCTTGGATCTGGAGGAATGCCATCCAATTGATGGCGTAAAATTGTTTGTGTTTGCAATTCTTTGTTGCGCTGGTTACATGCTGTTGATTTTGCGATTCATAGCGTTCCTCCGACTGTTGTCCTGTTGTGGTACTCGGATTCATGAAGCTATAGGCTATAATTACAGCAGTTCTTTGGTGGTTGTTACTTCAGTTTCTTTTCTTTTAACGGTTCTTTGTCATCGTGGGATGCCAGTTTTTTCCATGTGAGAAGCTGTGCTACCATGAATCTGCCATGAACATGGTTACTGAGTGTTTCGCTGCATTGGTGCTGCCTTGTTATTTTCAGACATGCTGGGTGGCGATGGAGGCACGGAGCCGGTCATGGCTACCGGGTGTTGCGCTTGCTGTCTTCGGTCACACGTGCTTGGTTTGGGGGAGATGAACCAGAGCTGGGGGGTAAATTCAGGGTGGATCCGACCAAAATATTAGTACTCCATCTGTCCGAAATACTTGTCGTAAATGGAACACCGCAGTGGAACATAAATTTCACGACATCGCAATGGAACATCGTAACCACTGATGAATAGCCTAGACTTGTAAACTAATGTTCGAAGCCGGCACTTGCACCTTTTATTCCTGTATAATTAAAGATAATGTATAAATAGAACCAAGACCATTTGTTGGTTGCGAGCACGGAGGGACCAGGCACCACTAGTGGTGGCGGTGCGTCAGTTAGTATAGCAGGTGGAGTCACAAGGGTAGGGGCAGTCCGTCTTCTGGAACCCGCTGCGGCCGTAGAACCAGTCCCCAACCGCGTCCGCTATTCTCTGCGACAGAGTGAGACATGGAAGGAAGCTCTCGTCAGATTAACACACACCAGGAAAGGACGAAACTCAACTAAGGGCGCAAGAGGAAGGAAGAGGGTTGCTGTTACTCTGTCTCCGAGCGCCGGGGAAGCGGGCGCGAACCAGATGTCCTGCACCTCGGACTGGCAGTGCGCGAAGCACGAGTTGACGAACAGCCCTCTGGATCCGGTGGACGAGCTCCCCCCCAGAGCCTCCAGGAAATCGTCCCTGAACCCTGCGTCAGCCAACCACCGTATGTGTATGTTCTCCGCTGAGTATACGTATAGCTGACCGACCAAGTATGTAAAATGCCTACGTACCCTGCAGGGTCTCGAGCTGCTTCGCGGAGCACTGGGTTATGTCGTCCCTGCAGCTTCGCCATCCAGGATCGGAGCCCTCCGGCACCAGAATGTGCCGTACCTGCAACATCAGCGAAACATGAATGCCTTGCTTGATGGATGCAAGTGTCAAGCGTATTGCAGTTGCAGGTAGGCATTGCTCTTTATCAGATGATAACCTGCCATGAGTCGTATGCTGCGTTTAGGATGAACAGAGGCGTCCGGATCTGCTGCACCTCGTTCTGAGGAAAAAAGCACTGCATCCAAGGAGGAAGCAGCTTGTTTACTGATGTTTAGATGTGCAATTGTGGTAGCCATTGCAAGTATTTTCTTACCACGCCTGCAGGCAACTTGGAAGTGCACGAAGATGGCAAATTCTTCGCCGAGCCCTACGGTATTTACACACAATGCAATCAGGTAGTATATATACAAGAGAAAAGAGAATAGGTCTAGGCGCAAAGCATTTTTTTTCCTTTTTCATACAAAGTGAAGTGATTGTTATAATTTTTAACGACGCCTCTTTACTTTACACCACTACATTCGAATTCTAGTCAAACCCGAAACTTCCATATATCATGACATAGTTTTTTTTGGGTCATTTGCATTTCTATCCCAAACTCGAACCACCTACTCAGATTTGCCCATAATTTTGAAGTCTGCTCAAATTTGCCCTTCTGCCGTTAGGTGCCCTTACAGAAATGTCCTTCTGCACCGTTACCGTCCGGTCAAAGAGCTTTGACCGTCCTGAAAAAATAGCAAAAAAAAAATCTAAAATTTTGTGAGATCGAAAATACTCATGTGCGCAAGGTGCGTGCAAATTTTCATGCTATTTGGACATTTCAGGAGCTCGTGGCGAGGAAAAGCAGTTAATCTGTACTCTTGTGAACAGTAAATTTGAAATAAAATAGCAAGAAAATTCAAAAAAATATGAATTTTTTTGGCATCAAAGAGGCTTGGGTGCACAAGGTGCTTGCAAGTTTTTGTGATCAAATGACATGTGAGGAGCTCTAGTAAAAAAAATCATTTTTCCCAAAGTCTTTTCCCGAGCCAAATTTTGTTTTTTTCTCCACGAGCTCCTACAGTGTCCAAACACAACAAAATTTTGCACGCACCTTGCAGACCCAAGCCTCTTTGATGCCAAAAAATTTCATATATTTTTAAATTTTCTTGCATTTTTTTAATTTACTGTTCACAAGCATACTTATCTACTGTTTTTTCTTTGCCACGAGCTCCTGGAATGTCCAAACAACACAAAAGTTTGTAAGCATCTTGCGAACCTGATTATCTTTGATCCCACAAAATTTCAGATTTTTAAGATTTTTTTTGCTATTTTTTTCAGGACCTGCTTATCTTTGACCAGACGATAACGGCGCAGAAGGGCATTTCTATAAAGGCACTTAACAGTGGAGGGGCAAATTTGAGCAGACTTTAAAATTAGGAGCAAATCTGAGATTGAACGCAAATTAGAGGTCTTTTTTTTTTTACGGAGAATGGCATAGTAGAGAGAACGTCAAACGTGCATACATGTGTTGTGACCACATCACTAAAAAATGCCTCGGCGTGGTTGGCTCCAGTAATGTCCTTCCTGTAACAGCAGAGATAACAAGTGTTAAACGAGGAACTAATCATTCACAAAGGCAACACGCTTTCTTCTCTCTCTATATAGTACTCCCTCTATTTTTGTTTGCTCTGCATGTTAGAGTCGACTGAAGTCAAACTTCATTAAGTTTGACCAAATTTATAAAAAACAATATAAACATTTATCATAATAAATCTATACGATGTGAAAGTACATTCAATAATAAATTTAATATTGTTGATTTGTTATTGTATATCTTAATATTTTTGTTTATAAACTTGGTCAAAGTTTGTAAAGCTTGATTTTGACCAAAGCTAATATGTGAGCTAAATAAAAACGGAGGGAGTACTCCCTCCATTCCCAAATACTCCCTCCGTCTCAAAATTCTTGTTTAGATTTGTCTAGATACGGATGTATACAAAAAAATTGGGACGGAAGGAGTATTTGTCTTTTTAGAGATTTCATATGGACTACTACATACGGATGTATATATACATATTTTAGAGTGTAGATTCACACATTTTGCTTCGTATGTGGTCACTTGTTGAAATCTCTAGAAAAACAAATATTTAAAAACAGAGGGAGTATATTGCAATGCCTAGTAATATCTACAAAGTGGCAAAAACAGATAGTAGCATGCTTTTGTTCTTCTGCCTTACACGTTGATGAAGAAACCAGCATCTGAAAGGCATTTAACATTGGCATCCACTGGCAGGAGCTGATGAAATCTGTCGCAGTGCAGTATCGAAGTTAGCCCACCAGCAGAACATCCCGAAATCAGAGCCTGCCACGTCCTTGGAAAAGGAGGAAATTAGAGCCTGCTACATTTTCTTTGGTCACATGCCAATGCCAGGCATATATTGTGCTGATAAGAATGCATACATTTTCAGCTTTGTTCATTCCTTTCGCGAGCAGATCTTCTATAACTGCTTGCCACACCCTCGCACCTCTGTAGTGTAGCTCTGTGCTCTGTCCATATTTACAAAAATCGGTAAAGGGTAATATATCAAGAAGATATAAGAGTATAAGTGTACCCAGCCTTTCCAACAGCACAATACCAAGTAGTGACACTAAGGATGCACACACCCAAATGATTTTCAGATTGCAAAAATAAAGCAAAGACTTTACGCATACTGGTACTAATGCCGGTAGCAGCAAACATGAAGTATATGCGCTCACAGGATCAACTTCTTCCTTGTCGCCGGTGAAAGACGAGCCGTCGCAGTACCGAACCTTGACCTTGTTCCAGTTGTAGAAGTCTGTTTTTGACAAATTGCGCACTCATTATTGAGCACATAAATTCCAACTAAAAAGAAAAGCATAAACATGATTGGATGACCAGGTGGTGAAACTGAAGTATACCTGGGTTGTAACCCGACGCGTTGCTCAAGATCCCGGTGAAAGCAACCCGCTTGGCCATCTCCTTGGACGACCCCAACGGGGTGCGCGACCGTTGCAGGCAGGTCATCGCATTGTTGCACCACGCCCCTCCCTGCCGCCACCATGGAATCGAGCTCAGCACATTTTTCTTGGCATGCACAGAATTCTGTAGTAAGTGCCATGGCGATGAGTGAATTTGACTGACCTCGAAATGAACCAACCAGCTGTTCACCCCGGAGCCGGAGCCCGGGTCGAGATGGTACGCCGGGGGGCTCCCGTCCAGACATACTAGCAGCACGATTCACAAGATCACACGTCAGACTAGGATAAGTGAGATGCCGAGAAGCGCAGCGATGGTGAGACTGACCTGCTCCCTTGGCCACGGCGCTCTCGACGTAGGTAATGTCGACGAGATGGTCGTCGTCCCCGTGC